GAAAAGTAAAAAAAAAATTTAAAAAAAATCCACTGGACTTTGATTTCCAACTTCAAAGACGTTTTGCTTCCCATCCAGGAAGCTTTTTCAATTCAAAATGGAAAGAGGAGCTACCATTGGATCCTTGAACTTTTTTCCCATTCATACAATGGATAACACTAATGACATCTTTCCTTCAATCTGACTGGATGACCTGGTGAACTGTAAGGTGGCTTGAGATGACGTGTGTTGTGAACTATAGAAATAAACTGAATTGAATTGAAATGTGAAAGATTCCAGGTGGTATTAGAAGATTTGCAATGAACAGTAGGTTTATTCATCCTCTTTTTTTATTTCACCCTGCAAACAGAAAAAGATTCAAATTCTCGGTTGTATTTTAGCTCTGTCCTCTGACTGTCCTTCCTCTGTCTCCGTCCCCAGAGCCAAGGCAGGCTGCGACCGGCTCATTGAGGTGGAGGACATGATGATCATGGGTCGTAAGCCAGACCCCATGTGTGTCTTCACCTACGTCCAGTCCCTCTACAACCACCTGCGCAAGTTTGAGTGAAGCTCAGGAACATGGCCAGCTTCCTGACGTTCAACCTTTCTTGTTGGCTTCAGAGCCATTTCCAAAGCCAGGATCGCCCTCTAGAGGTGAACTGATGCACTTTCCCTCCAGCTGACCACTGAAGCAGACTGAAAGTGGTCGGAGCTGGAATGACGGTACGGCTTGGACGGATTTATTGGGAATGAGCAGCAACACAGAGATCTGTTTTTCTTTTTTGTTTTAACGTTTTATTGTTTTTATGATGTTTATTGGTGTGTGAAAAAAAACTGAAGATGTGAAGATGTGCTTTGTTTCATGAAAGACACCAGATGTCTGCCACAACAAAAAAACGTGATGAGCTGCTGAGTGATATTCTGGGGGATGTTTTGTTATCAGGGGGAGAAGAAAAGAACGGAGCCAATAAAGAACTCTGTTATTTGGGGTGTAATAAAAACACTGAGCAAACATTAAGAGCAGTTTTATCACAGCTATGGGGCCCATGGCCACCCCTGTAACCCTACAAGGTCATTCTTGTTCTCATGTGGATGTAAATCCCATCCTCCTTAAAGGAAAAGTCGCTCATATTCAGAGTTCGAACTTCTGAAAGTTCTTTAAATCTGAAATGATTCCATCCTGTTCAATAAATGATCAGTGTTTTTAATTCAGAGTAATTTTCATGTGAATGTGTTTGTCACAACGCGTTATTATCCAAGTCATCTTGAAAACATTCTTCTTCCAAATGTTGGCTACATATTACGGGTTTTTT